ACTGACCCCCTTCTCCATCTTTTGACGTTCACCAACACCAGACACGACTCCCCTTCGGAGAAGCTAAAATACGAACCCTCTCCCCTCTAGAACTGCTCAACACACGGTTGACCCTGCTACGGGGTGTATGATGTTACAGCAAAGGTGAAATGGTTCAAATGTTATTACTGGTAGGTGGCACTCTGATGCATAAACTAGCACCCCAATTTTCTACAAGTAACGATTTTCTTGAAAATAACAGCCAATGGACAGCGACACATTTGACAGACTTTGCGTTAATGCGTGACGCGTCTGCGACGCTTGTGTGCAACCTTCTGCGGCCATATCTCACAAATATTCTTTCCTTCTAACATAATTTTTGGAGTGGAATGCCCAATATGAAGGAGTTGAATCGATTTAAAAAAAAGGTCAGTAAAAACGAAAAGGTGGCACTATCATCGGAAACTATTGCACGTGCAAAGTATTCGAACACTAGCTATGATTTCGCATGCTTTATGCCGATGAATATTACATGGCCATGACTGGTCAATGATCCCCATTGATTCATTACTTTCCGACCAATCTCCGATTACCAGATAATTTGAATTTTCCGAGCTCGACAGTGATGAAAAAATTAGAAACGAAGAGCCTCCTAGCGAATAGCCCTGGCAGGCATGGCCAATGCTTGTCAATCGTTTGAACGCAGAGCTGTTCAAATAATGACCAGGTGCAAATTTTCAGGTTTATTATTGTTTCCAATACTAAAACGAACAGGTAATCTGCTCTAATTTTGCGAGTAGAAGCAGTGAAGTGAGGTTCGAAGATGAATCGGCAGCTGATCAATTGATTGTCAATGAATAAAAAGGAAGAGAAATCAAAGGCAAAACATTTCAATCAAGAGTTTCCTTTTCCTTTTTTCTTGGAGAATAACGAGTGCGAAACAGACAGAAACAGGAGATGCAGAAGGATTGAGAGGCGTTCACGCCAAGGCGAGAAAAACGTAGACCTAGACAATGCAGACGAGAGAGCATAGCGGACAGTTGAATCACAGATACCACAATAGTGAGGGCAGGACCACTCCTATTAATGGTACTCTTCCGAAATTTTTACGCTTCTCTTCCAGAGGTGTCCCTATACGACCCTCCACTACCACTACCGTATTCAGTTTAGGTCACCCGTACAACCCTCACCCCTTACCACCTCTCTCCTCTTCAACTCTGC